ATAACCTCTGGGTTCTTTGACGGCCAAGATTAATGGCAACTCTTTCCAACCAAAACCCAAGAAGTGAAATGCAAATAAGATAGCTTTTAAAAGAACAAAAGTTTCAGTAAGCAAAATGGCAATTTGATGAATGTTATGTTTGGAGGAGATACAAGCGTGAATTGACAGCCTATCGTAAAGTTACCTAAAAACCCAGCCATTACTACAAGGTGCATACCATTGCACACGCGCCCAGACGTTTCCATTTAAAGATTGAAGTTAAGTTTGAATTAAGGTAGGACTGATTATTTGATATTAAGACTTGTAATATTATTAGAAGTGAGAGTAGGCGGATAATATAATTATTTAGAGAAAGTGATCTAAATTACGTGATTCAGTTTAACTTTTTTGTTCGTTGATTCATTCTATATTCTCACTAGTTAAATTTATCTAAATTGTTAGACGTTTAAGATCTATTCTTAATAAAGTCATATTAAGAATTTAAAATGTCTGATTATTATGAAAACCCCACACCTCTAGCTCATGTTGAGAATCAAAGATATGGTCACCAAAGGGGAGGCCATATCACAATGTTTAATATGTATTGTGTTACAATGAATATATTCCATATACATAATGAAATACGTTTAACGTTAAAACGTTTAAGACGAAATATCGGTTAACATTTAATAGTACAATGGTCCTGGCAGAACCAATATGTATTTTCAAGCATTTTTTTCTCTTAACACAAAGCGAAAACAGCTTAAAGCGATAAGTTTTCCCATTGAAATTGAACCGACACTTAATGAAATGTTTGAAAAAGTTTTTGTATTATCGGACTGTCCTGTTGTATCATAGGAAGAATTTATTGCAGTGGATGAAGATAATATGAGTACAATCCCAATTATTGCAGACAAAGATATTTTGGAATTCGTTAAAAGAGCGAAAAAAATATCATTGATGCAGATTCCGATGAAGAAAATAAAAAAGAATAATGCTGCTCCAGTTTCTTACCTCCTACGAAATAAGGATCATCATGTCAAGTATAAACAGTTATTGGGACGCAAATTTCAATGGTGAAATGAATAACAAAATGGACGACATCGAACAATTTGAAGCTAAAAAAAGGCAATGTAAAGAAAAGTATTAAATGATCTTCCAAAAACTCAATAAATGTTTTGTTTTTCAAAAAAACTTGGAAATTTTGTGTTAAATTTCATTTTCTTGTGAATGTTTTTGTTTCATTGATTTTTATTAAATACACGAATATATACATATCTACGTAAATAAAATGTGATCTAATAAGTTTAATTTTGTAAAGTATATATGTATATATATATATATATATATTTGCAAAATCCTTTAACACGAAATTCTTTTAATACAAAAAAATATTTCAGTCCCCTCAGTTTTATGTTACACTATTTTCACTATATATCATATCCAAATGAAACATTTTTCAAAATTTTGTGCCACCCATTAATGTATTCATGTATTATTTAAGCAACCTAGCGTGGGTTAAAATTGGTTTGCTTTTAATGTGTATTAGTGTTTGATTCACACACTTTATCACTGAACATCGAGACTAATTTTTCAGATAAGGAATATATAACAATGTTGACTTGCATTTAACTGGACTTCCAATGCTTTTTCACGCAGAATTATTGATCATTGTTCAATGAGATTCGTTAGAAGTGCTAGGATTTCTTCGAATAAAATTTTTTATATGTCTCTAGGAGAAACCAAACTAATATTAGCAATCACTAACAAATCAAAAATATTTTTCAATTCCTACTATTTTTTAGCTCCCTCTCCCTCTCTCTATATGTATCTTGTTCAAATTTTCAATCGTTAATAAAATACATTCTATTCATTCAATCAAGTTCAAATACATTTTTTTAAACGTGTAGAGGACGACACTTGATGTTAGTACAGTTTTTTCAAACAGTAATTCATTAAATAAATTAAAAAAATGAATAAATAGTAACAAATAAAAACAATAGTCCAACAGTATATGTAAAAAGGAAGATCGTTCGTTGTGTCCTTGTAGTGCAATGGATAGCACGTTGGACTTCTAATCCAAAGATCGTGGGTTCGAATACCTTCAGGAATGGCCTAATTTCAGAGAATATGTTTTTTTCACTATAATATTTTATTCGAATAATTAAATTTAATCAATAAATAAATAGTAACAAACAAAAAAATTAATGCAACACCCTATATAGAGAGGAAAATGAAAAATTGCAATGAAAATAGCTTTCTATTTTGCCACTTAATATTGTGATTGTGTGTGTCATATGTATATTCATAGTTATATTAATTGTAATTATTTAATAAAAATAACTAAAATAAAATTTTCTTTGTTGACCTAAGTAGGAATTGACTTAAAGCATTTTTTTAAAATATATTTCTTGTTACTGACCATTATTAAAAGCTAAAGCTATAAGAAAGTCGAGATCGCGTTTGAAAGATATACTACGGAAACTTTTACTACTGTAATCTATCATGATTAAAGGCAAACTGTTTTAAGCAAATCCCTTTATTCGAAATTTTCCAATCTTATACATTTTAAACAGCTCTGGACGCACTATAATTTACATCTAAGTTCCATTTGCATCGTTTGTAATTAACAGCAAAACCTTGTATGTCGTAAATATTTCCCCAACGCTTGTTGAAACTCCATTTTGGAGCACGTGAACTAAAGATAGCTTTTAATTAATGGTCTAGTTATCAGAAATGCGCAACTCGATTTAGATGCGCCCCTGGGAACGGTTTGAATTACGCTTGCAATCTGAACTTAAAAATCCTGTTAATTATGTTAGCAATCCTCTCGGCAGAGCTCACTTTTTGGTATTGATAGAGCCCTTAAAAAGTTTTCAGTAAAAAGAGTTAAGATCAGTGTAGGGGTAATTTACGTAAGTTTTATCGTGTGTGTAAATTAGCTTATGAATTTTCAAGTGCTTATTTTTTTCTTCTTATCAAAGCTTCTATTTGTTTGATTAAACATAAAAAGAATTTTATTTTTGAAGATAAAAGTAACGGCGAATGAGTTCATTAAGATTTATTAAGAGTTTAGTAATTAAATAATCATATATTTAAATTGAAAGAGGAAGATTTCTGCAAAAAAACCATTGGTAAAACTGTTTATGGCGATTATAATGATTATAGCTGTCTTTGATAATTGTTTAAATTATTAGCATGTAATCTTCATTAAATAATTTGAGTGGGAAATTTTTTTTCTGCTTAGAAACTACACTGAATTTGAAATATGTGTTAGCATATATGATACTTTGTATATTATTACTAAGGAACAAGTAAGTTAATACTTAAAAATTGATAGAAATAGCTTTTAAGATGGCCTTTAGAAATTTTTAAAATGTTTTTTTTTATGAGATGCATATTAGCAACTAAGCATTTGCAGACACGGCATATTCATAAAATGTGAGAGACATTTCAGTTTTGACACCATCTAGTGGCGGTTCTTTCTACCAAATTTGGACACTTGAATTAATTTAATTCAAGCTCCCGTAGGATGCTAAATATTCCAGAGATTTAATTTTCCTGGAGTACCATAGAACCAAATTGATACTCAAAAGATCTTTTATTTGCCACATAATCAAATGACAAACTTGCCAACGATTTTCACATCCACAGAAAACCTATCGACTCTAGCCGGGATGAAACCCACAACCTTGTGGTTATGAAGCAGACACGTTACCTCTAAGCCACAGGAAAGCAGCTTATCTAAAATGTTTAAAATTTGTCTTGAAATGAAACTGTAGGCAGAGTGTAATTTAAATTCTCGTTAACTTCAACTGCGGAATTAAGGTGTCGAAGCAAGCTGTGTGTTGAGATACTCACGCATAAGAAATGTTTGTGATAGATCAATTAACAGCTAAAATAATAAAAATTTCAAAAACCTCAACAAATTACCGAAAAAAGTTAAAAAAAAATTATCTAAGAAGGAATGTTTTTAAATTGTTATAAAATGATATAAAAAACAACAACAAACAAACAAACAAACGAAAACCCCATTCATAAATGGTTTACATTTTGATTTGGATCTTCATCTTGGAGTAGTCTTGCGAATCACAATATTTAGGATAAAAAAAAATTTAAGAAAAAATTTAAAATGTAAGCCTTGGTGGTTTTTTCCCGTATAATGATGTTTTTATTTAATAAAAAAATAATGGCTCAGTTCAAGATACAAAGTATTTAAGATATTAGTGCAGAATAATTAGATTAACAGTTTTTAATTTTTAAAAAGATATTTATAATATTTAAGCCACAAAGATTATAAACTAATATAAAGACATTCATTCAAAACCTAAACATACCGAGGAGGCATTTGTATTTTTCGTACTTAATATGATCAACAAAAATGTTCGATCTCACTTCCTAGCCTTAAATTAATACCTAATACAGAAATTAATTCTTACTGATGTTATAAGANTTCGGTTCATAAATTTCCCCCCCCCCCCCCCCCCCCCCAACCCCCCCCCCCCCCCCGGGGGAGGGGGGGGTTCACAAGTGGATAATTCGCTAAACGTAAAAGACTCGGTAGTCCACACACGAGTGGCGTAACGGAGAATATTCGATCCCCCTACAAACTCAGGTTTGAGGCTCCAAGATCAAATACGTAATTAGCGTCAGATTTTGGGCCTCCCCCCCACAATGCGGGGGTTGCGGGGGTATACGTTACGCCACTGACTCACGCCTTTCTCAGCCGCAGTCCTGGCCAAGAAATCGGCCTTCTAATTATCATCAATCCCTACTTGAGATGAGACCCACTGAAAATATATACTATGTCTAGAATAATTTCAATCAAGAAGATATAAAGATTAGTATGGTCTTCATAATATAAATCTCCACTTGGAATCTGAAATGAAGCACGGCTGTCAGTCAGAATCCAAACATCATGAAATTAATCTTCGACTTCACATGAAAACTGAACCTCCCCTAACGAACCCTATCTGATAGCACACACACACAATAAGATTCAATCTAAAAACTGAACAAAAACTTGGATTTTTTAATCTTAATATCCACTGCAGCAGTAGGAGTTAGAATGTGTACTCCGCTACCAGAAATTCAACGTTACCTCTGTCCATCTAAGTTAGGGGTACTCAACCTTTTTTTTTTCTGCCGAGCGACATACATATGTTAGCTGTTTTACGCGGGTGGCATATCACGCAGCTGCAACATGAAGATTAATGGAGGAGGGGGGGAGAGAAGAAATGCTTTAAGACAAAGGTAACATAGAAAATTTAAAATGTGGAAAATTGATCAAAATAGTAAAATTCCTGTTTTTCTTTTTTTAATTATTTTTTACAATTTCAATTTTTGTCACTGATTTTTTCTATATTGGAAGGATTTAAGAATCACTCT